TTTGACAGGTGTACTGCAGTAGGCGGGAAACAAGAAACCGGTTAGCCGGTAGCTGCTCTTAGCCTGGCCTTATCCGAGCTCCCACATCATGCTACTAAATGTGGCTAACATGCTAGCAAAGAACATGGCAACAACAACACGCAGTATAAACTCAACTGGAATTCACAAAAGGCCAAACCTCACCTTGGTTTTAATTTCACTATCCACCTTGAGGAGTGAAGACATCTTATGTAGTCGAATATGAGCAGAACGATTGTCCCAACAGCATTAAATTCACCTGTAAACGTGTGGCTTATCACTTGTCTGCCACACTTCGTGAGCTTAAAGATGACGACAATAAACATGCGACGGAGCCGTTGTTGCGCTTGCGCGCAACGTCACCGTCTTTTTCTAGACGCAGCTGACGATGTAAACAAGAGAAAACATCCGAGGGCAGCGGGGCTCACACAGGCCGGGTTTCACGCAAATGATAGCCATTAAGCACCCATAGACGGCGGACATGGGGCTCCCTGTTACGATTAAAGTCAATTTTCGGGGGAACGTGAAGAGGTTTCTGGCTCAGGATATGGATAAATTGGAGTGGGAAGCTGTTGAAGTCTGGGTAAGCAGCTAGCAGAGTCTTGGCTAAACGCTGGCGCAGTTTAGTGAAAAAGTAGGCCTAGACGTTTTGGCCTAGACATATAAACAGAGCTCCCAAAGGATAATCGATGTTGTTACGACAATAACAATAATGTATTTGTAAATAATGTTTTTTAAGCCAACCGGAGCTTTACAAAATATAGTCACACAAGTGAGGACGTGCTCAGTTTGATTTAAGGTTACTACATATGTATAATACAGTATCCAGCTGTGGAGGTCTTTCTCACTGACTCAGACATGGTTCATGTTTTTCCTAACACGTGTGAGGAGAAAAACTGAACTGCTCTCAATTGTTCTGCGTTACTTTTCAGATCAAAGCATCGTTTGGGATCAACCACTTTCAAGTGAAATACTTTGATGAAGACAATGAAGAGGTAAGGGATTGTGGTACATTGTAGATTTTCAGTGCTAATGTTTTGGCAGAGTCCAAATTCAGTTTTTAATTTTGATCTCATTTACCTTATATTTCAGATTTGCATAAACAGTCAAGGTGAGGACAATATTTAATTGCTTGTTTTCTATATATTTTATGTCGAATATGTTTAGGCTTAGGTCTTCCTTCAAAGGTAAATCACCAGGACTTTGTTAAAAATGTATGTAGCCAGCATTTGTTTAAAGCTTGGTTTAATGTACTCAAAATTCAAATACATGTTTGATTATCAGATGGCTGAAAAATAGCATGAAAAGGCACAAACCTCTGTTAACTAAGATAGCAAAGACTCTTTTCCCTAACTACATCTTAACACATTGTGCTTACATGCATAGTCACCCCCTAATGATCTGTTTGATCCAGGAAAGCTGTCCAACTGATAGATTCCTAACCTGATATGGATCTATGATAGATAATATTGGCATTCATAATATGTATTGTAGAAATTATGTCATGTCCTGTCTTCAGAATTTGCTTTGGTGGTACATTTACCTAAATACAGTGGACTTACCAACAGCTAAACTGATGCTGAACCATTGAAAAGCCATGCAAAACATGTGGTCCACACAAAGGTGTTAAACAGAGA